ACATAATATTGATCAAATATGATTCATTGTCATTTTCTGTTGAATAATCAAATTTATCTATTAAAAAATATTATAGTTTGAATAATTGATTTTTTCATCACATACGTAAATGTACTAAGGTTAGTAAGCTTTTAGTGAGTTGAGGTTGACTGCACCACACACAACAAAAAACACTATATTGTGGAAAAAAAAAAAATTGACATCTGAGGCCGAGACAGACCATAGATATATTAAGCCATCATGAAATTATCAATTCAGGTGAATGGGACTGTTTTTGGATTTTTTTTACACATAAATGTTTTTGAATAGATTTGTTTTCAAAAACTGCTGCCTTGCCAAGAAGTTCTATTTCTGAAATAAAGGAATTTAACAAATTTGATGTAGATATCCCTTTTGTCAGATAATTTTAAAACTAGATTAATTCCATGGAAATTTATCCTTTTTTCTACAGTCAGAAAGAAATAGGAGAAGTTTCATCTGACAGTTTTGATAGAAAGTTGCCTTCCTTTGATTCAATCATAGGAGATGGAGGTTCGAGAAAGCGATTACCGTCTTTACAATCGAGTTGGGGGATAGATGAGTGATTAGCTTGCCAGAAAAATGTAATCTTTGATTATAGACCCCCAGCCAAGACAACATTCCAAGTTATTAGTAAAACATGCTGTTTAAATATTAGAAGTTGGTGATAGGTTATTAAGAAGTAGCCAGATGGTAACTTTTAGAGCTATGTAATCTAAGTACTGTTCTATAGTCCAACAGTAGGTAATAAAAACTGGAAGAGTCTAGTTCAGTGAGTAACAGTTCCTTCAGCTTTTCGTTTAACGATTCTCATCATTTTATTTTTTCGTATCTGAAGTAATTTGATGGACACTGGGATTATTAGAACTTGAGAAACTACGGTTTCTAAATTTAAATTTTCGGATTATCATGGATATAATAGGGATTAGTTACAGGTATTGTAGTTTTTAATTTTTGTTCAATTTTTTTTATTATTCAACCATGATGCTTACCTAGTCTTGAACATGTGATATGAATTCTTATTTATTTGGGAAGTTCAGATAATTAACAATTTTTACTGTACGTTTGTCTAATAATAAGTTTTATTGTAAGGAAAAAGGAAAAAAATGTTTTATGCATCCTCTCCCCCAAAGAAATTTTTGGTTTAAAAAGAACATAATACATCATTATTATGTATAAATGTTAAGAGCATCTTTTGTTAATTACGAAACGTGTAGAAGATTTGACTAATGATAGTAGACATCTTTTATCGACCCTTTCATCTTTTCTTTACATCAATTTTCACTTCTGCTTCACATCAAGTAGTTCACTTGTTTAATCTGCCCCCTCGTCAACACTTTAAAAGAAACTAATAGCTTCACCTTTTCTTGTTCATCTTGATTTAATCTGTTCATCAGGCATATACTCTAATGAATCTTAAAAATTTGCATGAACTGGTGACAAGGTTATAAAGTAGGAAAGCTCCCTCTTCCCATATAATATTTTGTTGGGTAAATGATAATAATAGAGCTTTCTGTGTATGCCTCTTTAAAATGTATTTCTTCAAGCTCCTTATATATAGCCATCAATGTGGAGAACATACATTCTACCAGGAAAATTACTTTATTGACTATATTAGTCATATTATACAATTATAATTGAAAAGAATGTTTTCTATATAAAGTGATTCTTTTGTGTGCATCATGATTCAGGGTGTGCATGATACTACTTCCCAGATGAGCTGTTCACATAGCTGACACATTTTTGTTGTACTTTCATGTCAATTTAAAAATACTTATATGTGTTACATACATTTTGTACACATTTATACTAATGCAAATAATGAAGAATTATCTAATAAAAATTGAAATTTGAATTACAGAATATAGGATTACCCTCACCAAATCTTTTATTGTGACAAAATATTTAGCAAATACATAAATCTAGCACACATAATTCTGTTATATTATATATGAGACTGTTGTAGAACTTGAATCCTATATATGAGGCTGTTGTTGAACTTGAATCTTAGCCACAGTTGCTTTAATGCATACTGGTAATTCAAGCTTTGATATGTCTTACTTATAGGACTGGAATCTTAGCCACAGTCCCATTAATATATAATTGGCTTTGATATATATGTATATCTTATACTTACATGTTGTCAACTTACATGTCATGTCATCAAATAGATATCTTATACAACAGGTTTGCTCAAAGGAACTACTAGATAATAATAATTGTAATCATATTAAAAATATATGAGAAAAACTATTTCTTCATATGTGAGCTATCTAATTTTCTATGCATGATTGTTGGAAATCTAAATGGAAGAAAAGGCAAATTGATTATTCACAATTATTTTTAAATTTCCATGCATATCTCACCTGGAAATTTATAATCTTTTGTTCATTGTTTTTATTACAGTACATAAGTACAGTCAAGCTACTTAGTAAGTACTTGAGAACTGACTGTTAATTTCCCTCCTAATTTAAAGTAAAAGCTAGTTAAATAAAGCCTGCCTTTGATTCAGATAATGTTAAAGAATTATCACAGCATGTACATGGTTACCTTAAGAGATGCTTTGAGAAAAAATGTCTGGGTAAAGCAATTCTTAGAATAGCCAGGTTGATCATTCCTTAATTTAGATTAAAGGAACAGTCCTAGGGTTCAAGTACAGGGCAACCGTTGATATAAAAGTGTGTTAAAGCAGCATTAGGCAAGAGTAAGATTAGATAAAGAACTGACAATTCTCCCTATAGTAATTAAAAAATAGATAATATAAAGGGAATATGCCGAAAATTCAGTCAAATTACTTCACTCTGAGCCGAAATATCCACATTTTATTTACACTGTAGCCTCTATTGTCATTTTAACTGTTGTTACGATAATAAACAAAGTCTCAATTATCCATTTTTACTATTTATCATCAATAGCCGTTAAACTGCTGATCGGATTCAAATCTGTTGAAAATCGGACCCATCAGATGGCATTGAGAGTTGATTATGGTCTTCTGTTGAAAGTTCAGCTCTCATAAGTTATTGAATTGTGATACTGGACTCTTTTATTTTATTATGTATTATTCTATAAACTTAATGTTTTTCTCTGGAAACTTTTTGGGTACAAAGCGATTCACATTGCACTGAAGATCTCTCTCAAAACACATGTCAGTACTTACAACTAAAATAAAAACATTAATGTATTCAGCGTCTAGAGTTTTTTTTTTTTTGTTCTAAGTATCGTTTGTGTCTATAGTCGTAATTATGCCCAGAGTATACTTATACCGGCATTTATATTACTTAATGTTTTATTAGTCAGTAAATACATCAGTTGGTTAATTTTCAAATCCAAAAGAACTGCAATGAATACATTTTATTAGAAATTTGTGACTTGATAAGATCTTCTGACCGAGATATGTACATTCATAAAAATCTTAAATTATTTATTCCTTGATTAATGTATTGTAAAATTGACCAATATTAACTGTTGTGTGAAGTTCATACTCTACAAAGAACCAAACTGAATACTGTTTCAGAAAATGTCAAATGTAAATGTGATCCCCTACGCAGACCGAGATACATTTAAAAGAAAGTAACATTATCTCCCATTGATTAATTTATTTCAAATTCAACCAATGATATCAACTGTTATTTTTAGATAAAATCAGATAGATGTATAGTTAATACGAATAGTAAGAAAGAACTGAACTGAATACTTATTAGGAAAAAGTCAACTGTAACATTATTTTCCATTGATTAACCTATTTGAAAACAAACCAATAATATTGGCTGTTATATGAAATTAGGTTATGTATAAAGTTCATATTCTAATCAACAATAAGTCATGATTACAAATGGCCTGTAACAGGAATAATGTAGAGCGTATTGGACAGGACTTTATGGTGCCATAAACATTGTTACTGATCCCTATAGAGTCCGCAAATCAACTGGATGTTGTTACGCTTATTAATTTGATTACCCCAACCAATATTTGTAAACTGATAGGATTCACCATTTCTCTCCGTGGAATAATAAAACATTTATTGAACAAATTAGACCGAAAAACAAAAGTTTATGATATCTAACCCCTTTGCCCAGAATTGAAGTCGTTTGCTGGCAAATGAACATGTCAGTCAAGATTCTACACATATCTGTTAAGCATCTACCATACTTCTGTTTTACAAGTTGCTGCATGTTTTTTCACAACTTCAAACATCCCATATAATTCAATTTTATTGAAGTTTTTTTCTGAATGGCTTCAGAATAGACAGTTTAAATACTTGAAAGTGAGTTATTTGTGTTCGAGATCATATCACTCTGTAGTAAAAAAAAAATTTCTCTTTGTTTTATTAGCAAATATCAAATGAAAAATCGTAAAATCTGAGATTTTTGTGTTTGTTAATTTTCCTCTAATTAATGTGCTGGTGTCCAATTGGTAAATTTGCCTTTTATGTTTGAGAACATTCAGTTGTGTAATCTTTTATGTAATGGTTGTGTCATTTCCGACAGAGACATTTATGGTTCTTTTTTTTTTCCTTTTTTTTTTTCCAACAGAGTTAATTCATTGGGTCTCACGAAATTTTGGTTCATGAACATCACAAGTTCTTTGTCCTTTAATGCATATCTTTGCTTATTTTAAAACTTGCTGATGGTGTAGCCACAAGGTCTTCCATTTTGAATATTTATGAGATGTAAGTTGGTACAACTATGTATTTGGAAAATAAATTATCCAAACATAAAAATGCTACTCCATATTGATATAAAGAACTTGAGGGAGTGAAATCATATTTGTAGGACTGCGATTCCTTGCAAAATTAAGATTGGAGCTCTAAGACCAGAACATCTTATACAATTTTTCATAGATTTAGGAAGTCTATATGTAACTGACAATTTGGGTTGGAAGCTTACTTTTTCATTTGTTTATTGCATTTTTGCATATTTCAGTTTACAATAGTATAACATCGATTTTATTATAATATTAATAAATGTGATTGTTTATTGCAGCGTGAGCCGAGAGAGGGCAGCATCGAGATGAAGGAGGTGGAACGGGAAAGGATGTTACGACTGGAAGCGGAACAGCGTCTTAGGGACACAAGGCTGGAGAGTGACGCATGTAGGGCCAGGTTAAAAGCTTTACAAGAAGAGTTTACACGGTAAGAAGAATTAACTTTGTTGTTATTGAAAAATAAGAAAAAAATCCAGTTCGAATGCACCTTGAACTCATGGTCATGTATGTCATTCTGAGATGATGGCATTGTTCACTTGACCTGATCACCACTGACAGAATTAGAATTCTTGTGAGCAGACAGAATGAGTTAATCCGCTTGGGAATGCTGCAATATGTCTTGCTAAATTACATGTGATCAAGTATTGTAATCCTGTTATCACGCAATATGCATTTAGGAATTGTTGCGTTTACATTGTGTTTCTAATCAAAACTTTGTATCAAGAACCTGCTTTTACCTGAAGCAAAAATTACCCAAAGTTTATTGCTTTCATTTGGAAACAATTAATTCCTACATCTTGTGCAAATTTTTCAATAATCTCTCTCTAACTTTCCCTTATTCCCTTTTTTTGCATGGCAATTTCACTTGACTCTTTGGTTTAGAATCGAAAAAATGGGTTTGAAATTGTATTTAAGGTCAGGTTTTGATGAATATTCATGATTTTAAGTTGGAAGGATAACATAACAGAGTTATAGTTACAGTGAAATATAGTGCAGATAGTTGAATTTTTACTAGTATGCTACTTCCAGTTTGTGTATCTCATGATTTCTATGGTGAACCTCATACATACTTTTAAACAAGAGGCTCCATCTGTGGTAGAAAGCGTTCAACCCAACGAGAATTTGGGAAAAAGTTAGAGCTCTTCAAAGAGACAAGAATTACCCATAGAGTCAATTTGGAAATTAATGGAGTACTGTGGAGTCTGTGGTCATAAATACACAAAAGAGATTGCAGTATTCATTTTTTTGATACTACACGGTAGTCCCAGTGTGAACTCAACCTCAGTATAGTGAACTTATATCAAGAATAACCGGTACTGAAGAAATAGTCCAACTACATTCTATCTACTATTTTCTGTTCATCATTGACTATGTCGGGACTTGTTAACGTCCTGGGAGAATTATTATAACGAAAGTTATATTAAGATAACTTAATGAAGGACTGTATGGGATAAACCAAAAGATCAGCAATGGTGGTTTATAGAATGTGGTCTTACTGTAGATTAGGTTTTAAGTATAATTCTAATAACAAAAGAAGCATAGAGTGACCAACTTGATGCCAGCTTAAACCAGACTTTTATTTGCACCTATAGAACTTTGCTGAATCATTTTCAGTTCCCAAAGCATCTCGTTCAACAATCTTTTGAGTGAAAATATTTTGCTCAATGAAAAAAACATTAATTTTCCTCTACCATATAATCATTGAGAACGAATACTGACTGCAACAAGTGTTACCAGAAAACTATTAACAGATCATCTAGCTGATCGAGTGAAAATCCTCTAAAATCTGGGATTGTATAGAAATGGTATTAAATAAGATCTTGGTGTATAGAAGTGATTTATAGCTATACAGGATGATTAGTCATGGGATTTCCTTCCTGCCCCTGTTTTATATCACTTTTAATACACCATGTTCAACCCATTAATCAACATACCAAATACACTGAAATAACAAATTACTAATAATATAACAATTTCTTGATTTATTAGAATTAGAACTACAAATTGTGATACAAAATTATTTTGTGAATGCATTCACTTTTAGTGCAAATGACCTCATTTGACCTTTGACCCAGAATATCTCGATAACGCCCCAATGGCAGACTGATTACCACTCTGCGTCGTTGGGTCTGGTTTTGTGCCCATTGGATGGACCACCTCCGCACTGAGCCTCCGGTCTATTCTATTCTGTTTATTCTGTTCCACATTTGATATATCGTTTCATATTCACGGATTAATTTAATAGTTGTTGGAAATTAAGGATTTATCATTAAAGATACATTATGGGAGATTCGATAACGAGTTGGCAGTTCTCACTATAATAGTTAAAAACTAGATAATGTAAAGGCAATTAGCTGAAAATTTCATTCAAATTGATCCACTATTAACCGAGAACAAAGCGATTGAATTTCCGCCTAGCCTTGATCATCATTACTAAAGTCAGTATGATAAACAGCATAGTCTTGATTATCCATTTAATCGTTAAATCGTGAAGGAAAGTTGTGCAGTAAATCTGCTCACAATCCACTAAAGATCGCAGGCCTAAAGAAAGACAGATTTAGCTCTTGCATAATGTATGTTTAATTAATTGTTTTAAATATGAGTTGTGATTTTGTTCCCTTTCAAGGGTACTGTTTTCTTGGGTAATACCATATACTGTGTCTTTAGTTTGAATGGCTTCTGTTCTTTAATTGTTAATTAGTTTATTGTTGAATGTTTGTATATAATCCTCTGTGTAACAGGTATGATATTGTATCATTGCTTGATAATAACCTCATTGAAACGTTGCAGTTAGTAAACCTAGTGAATGTTATCCATAAAGCTGTCTGTTATTATATATATCGCTTTCACTAATGCCCTTTAAAGATAATATTTAGGTCATATCCTGTTTTCAGACACAGAGATCATTAGGACAAAACGCAACCTCATTTCCGAAATGTGGAACATCACTAGAAAAGAATAATGGTACAAATTTAGAAATATCCATGTTGAAAACATGTTTCCTGCCAACAATAATTGAATTTTATTTGTCAGAATTGATTGCATTTAATCTGTCAATTATAGATTAAAAACCACTGACATAACATTCTAGGGCAAACAAAGTTTTTACGCTTGTCTTTTAGAGTTACACGATATAATTAACTACGAAATTGATTAATCGCTTGTCATTATGTAATTTTGCTACCAATTGAAATTTGATTTAATGATTTGTAGGCTCTTGAAATCACTAAAACCATTTTTGAAAGTGAACATGAAAAAAGGAATGAGTTTTTGATCAATAGAAGATGTTGAAATGTACTTTGTGTGAAAAACTACAATTACCAGAGCATTTAAATCCATGGCGCCAATAGTAACCCCATGAAATTAGCAGTACTTGCTGGAAATAATTTCCTGTTCCAACAGTCAAGAATTAAGTGGAAAAATTGATTTTTTGCTTCTTGTCCAGTTGAAGTTAATTAGAGATCTCCTTGCAGACGTCTTACTTTGAAGTTTTGAAATGGAACAATTCCTGTAGACCTTTTTTGGGCACGAAAAAACCCAAAATAGTCAAAAAATAGATCAAATGCCTGTCATTATCTAACCATGCATCAATTTACTTTGAGAAAAAATGTCACTACTCAAGACATAAATGTCTAGAAGTTACTTTGATTTGCGTAAAAGAATTAACCCTTAAGCTTTTTATCAGTCCAAATTCATTGACACTTCTGTCACCATTATTCAAACTATGATTTAAAAGAAGCGTTTTGTTTAGTTATTCTTTCATGCATCCTCAAGAAACTATTTAATGATGGACTTTTGGAAAGACTTTGAAAGTGAATTCTGTGAAACGTTCCACTGATTGACCAATTAAAAGGAGTGTGGTACCTAAAAGAAATTCACACCAACCATTATTTATTAGTTTCTGAGAGTTTTATTTATGGTTTCTAAAGTTTTTCAAGCTTGTATCTCAGTTTTACTCGAAGAGATAAAAACTTAAATAGTTTGGATTTGCTATGTTTTGGCTATGTAGTTACACATCCAGGATATTCAAATAGAATTCTATCGAAGATCTAAAATAAATCAATTAATCCATTGCTGAGATGTAGATTTCAAGGTCTATTTGAGAGTCATACACATTATAGCCTGTGTCGGTTTTCAAGGAGTTCACTGTTCATGTGACGCATTTGCAAAATGTTTTGTTGTATACTTCATTTTGTAATTTTTTTTACCTCTTTCTTAATTCATTAGTACTCTTGTGTCTGATCAGATTTAAAATAAGCTGTTAGAATTCTGAAGAAATTCTGAAAAAATGTGTCTTTTGAAATTAGATAATATGTTTACTTAGCTTATAAACAATACCTCAGAAAATTGATTTTGAATCCGATTTTTTTGTTGCCTGAGGCAAGAAGAAATTTTTTTTAATTCTTTCCAATTACAATATTGCAGTATTAAATAAAAATCTGTTCTAATCTTACTGAGAATAGAAACTAAGCACCATTGAACCTGGGACATTAAAAACGTACAAACCTGAAATACAATGGGGTGAAAACAGTGAAATATAGGTAATAGTTACCGGTATACATATGGACTCCTGTATGTTAGAGCTACCGACTCCTTAATGAGATCCTAAATAATTTATGTGACCTTAATGGTACCCTCACTTATAGAGATTTACATAAAAACCTTTTGATTGGTCAATAATTGTGAAGTAGTCTCAAATTGTTCATTGTGAAAAACTTCTGCTCGCCAAAATAACCGATTTGATCTCGTATGTTTGACAGTCCCAGATACAGTATGACGGAATGAAGGAATCGCCATTTTGAATGATCATGTGATAAGAACCAGTGTGCAATATCATTGGAGCATTTACTGTAAAGAGCTAAAGAATACAAAACAATTAGAATTTGATGTGTTGGGGGATCACATGGCTAAGTAGGTAAGACGCTGGCTCGCTAGCCTGGAGGTTGGGTGTTCGATCCCTGCATTGACCGAGAAAGTTCATCCAGATTTTCCGGTGTGATTTCCCCTTGTCAGTGATGCAGAAAGGAGGGTCTGACAAGGACAGCTGTCTAGTCATTCGGATGGGACAAAAAAACGAGGTCCCGTGTACACATGGCGTGCACGTAAAAGATCCCTTGGCAGTTGGAATTCGATATAAGAGTAGGCCGTATCGCCGCTGCCCGGGCAAAATTTCCCTCATAGCACACTGTATGGCGTATGCCCGTCTTCATTAGCCCAGTTTAGGAGCAGAACAGTAAGACGTTAAACCCCATTTCATCATTTCATTTCATTTTGCAATTTAATTTGAAACAGGTTAAAAGATCATATGTATTACTATGCAACTTGCCGCCAGTGATTGCAGTTGCCATGCGAAATTCAGTGTGGATCAAATTTGATAAACGAAAATAAAAGTTCTCGACTACTTTCCTTTGATATTAAAGATTGATGATATGGATAAGGATACCATTTATTATAGTTTTTGAACTGTTTTTGTCAAAGCCTATATATATGTTACATGTTCCTATCTTAATGGCGTTAAAACTACATGCAACTGATAATAAAGATAGCATATACAAAATTCTCAAAATAGAATGAGACAACATTTCAAACTACCATTTTTATTACACATTACTCGGTGCCGAGATAAGAGAGGGAAAAGAGAGTTTGTTTGAACATTAAGATAACTGATAGGAAAGACACGAATATTGGTTTGAACTAAGCCAAACAGTGTAAATCTAATTTATCAGTCAGATATATGATATAAAGGGTCAAATGATGTGACCCCTTTCCCCATAATCAGCAAAAATATCATGTAGAAAGATATGAATTGCCGCTATGCTGTTATTCCGAGTATATTCCTGCTACTCCTGGGAGAGGGGATCAATAAAGAACATTTGTAAATATAAACCTAACCTTGGTGGATCTGTTTAAATTGAGAAAGCACTTTAAATCTTTTCCACATTCTTCTTGTCAATTTAAAGATGAAAAATAAATTCTTGTTCACACTGTGAACAATGTTGACAACATGACTATATCAATAAATGATAAATTGGTTCGCTAAAGCTGTTAATTATTGCATCGTATCCTATAATAGTCAAATAAAATTTGTTTTACAGCAGCTTTATAGTTTTATGCTCTTAGTTTTTCGCTTACCACTTTTATAAATGTAATTCTCTTCAGATCGTTTACCATAGAACTTAAATATATTCGCAAAAATTCAGTTTTTGGATAATCACACATTTCCTGTGAGATTACATTCTTTTCTCCTGATTCCTGTATCCATTTGTCCGCTTTGTAAACATTCTACAGATCAGTATTTTTGAGATTTATTTTTCCAAACTTTCCAATCTTGTAATTAAAAGCTGTAAAAAATTTTGAGTATTTTTTTTTTTAAACTTGTTGGATTTGTTTGTCTAATCCCTGTCACTGAAAACGCTCTAAAGGTTGAAATTCTAGAGATCTTGGCTTGTCCTAAGGCTGAATACTAATTTAGACTTACAAAGCAATTTTTTTGTAAAATTACTCTCCATGTGTCATTGAAACATTTTTAAATGTACCAACTTTAATATCTGAAATTATGAAAATGTACAACAGTGGTAACATGTTATCCATAAAATTTTTGTGTTAAAAAATAATAATACCAAATTTTTGAATTTATGTCTTTATTTTTATACCTTTTTTATTTATAGAATGGAAGAAACAGTACAAAGTATGTTACAATATAAGACAAAGATAGAACAATTAAAACAAGAAAAAACTAACCTGGCCTCAACATATGAGGTGAGTCATCTGTATATTTCAATGACATTTAGGCCACAATAATTTAAATTTCTGTTCTTCGGGTACACCTATAGAAATCTCCATCTTATTTCTTCATGGAAAAATCCTATTTGAAATCCAAAAGTACATGGTTGCATTGTTCAAATTTTTAAGTTTTTAAATTTTAAACGCAACATTTTTCACATAATTCAAGTTGCTATGTATCAAGACAACGAACAACAGAAAATTAAACTGGTTTGGATTTAGAACAGTTTGTACACCTAATCAGTTAAACTTAAAGCTTCCTAACCATTTGTATTAAATGGGTGATATAAAGATTATTCTTGCACTTTCCATTATCATGAGTATCAGTGATATATCTGTTAATTTATACTTCAATTAGCACCTGGCTTAATCCACAACTTAATCTCACTTATTCCACAAAATAACATTATTTATACATGTACCTTTTATTAAAATGTTAATCCAAGGTGTTGGGTACACAAGACAACCTAGCAAAACTAACTGAAACCATTTTTATACAAACATCATCTGATGTTTTGATGGTGAATTTTGATTTCTGTGATGTTTTTATCAATTATCCATCATCTCAGCTGTTATAAATGATCAGTATTATGACTTTCTGGCCATAAAGTCTACATTAAATATTTGGGGGAACTGTATAGCCAACTAAAGATAAAAATGTGGAAATGCTTTCTTCCATTTCAGTCAAGTATTCAGAAACATCGAAACCACATCAGCAAGTTGGAACGAGAAAATATCATGTTGTTGAATCAAGTTAAAAAGCTAGAATCTCAGGTATAATATTCTGACTTGTTTTTCAATTAAATGATAAACTTCATTTCTCTCTCCCCTAAATGGAAAAATAATATTAATAGAGAATAGTGAAGTGGGATCAGGTGTTCTTTAAAAGAATCACCCTACTACCATAAAAAATGACCGGCAACAGCTCTTTTTATACGTCCACATTCATAATGTGAACGTATTATGCCGTCGCCCCTGTCTGTGTGTGTGTGTGTGTGTATGTATGTATGTGTGTGTGTGTGTGTGTGTGTGTGTGTGTGTCTGTGGTTCGCCTACAGGGCGCAATTCTTCATGGATTTTCTTCAAACTTGGTATACTTATTCCTTATACCCCAAGGAAGATCCCTATTGTTTTTGGTGCATGCCCGACCCCCCGGGGCAGAGCCACGCCCATTTCTAGTATTTGTTTGTTTGTCGTCTACAGGCCACATTTCTTAACTAATAATCTTGAAACTTTGCATACACATTCTTTGTACCCTAAGGAACATCCCTATCGTTTGGGGTGCATGCCCAACCCCCAGGGGCAGAGCCACGCCCATTTTCTTTTCGTGTGTCTTTGTGTCGCCTACAGGGCGCAATTCTTACTGGATTTTCTTCAAACTTGGTATACTTATTCCTTATACCCCAAGGAAGATCCCTATTGTTTTTGGTGCATGCCCGACCCCCAGGGGCAGAGCCACGCCCATTTCTAGTTATTCTTTAAGTGGCATTTAGCGATCAGGGAACAAATTAACAGAACACAGTTTTTATGGGATACAATCACTAGTTTATTCTAAAAGCACGACGTTTCCACAAGTATTCTCTTATCGTTATCAATCAAGCAAAAAAAAACAAAAAAAAAACGTCATGCTTTTAGAATAAAGACATCGATTGTTTTAAAATAAAAATTGTGTTCTGTTAATGTGAACGAAATGTTATACTGATAGCAGTCCTACAACCCAGTTTTATTTCACAGACCCTCAATGCAAACTGGACCATATCAAACAAAACAGGAATGTGGACGTATATTGCTGCGTTAGCGATGCTCTTGTTGACATAACCTGCCAGTTCACATGAGAACTTAAAAATGAAACAGTATACAATCTTATGAGATTGAATAAAATATTGTATTAACAAGACCATAAAAATATTGTATTGACAAGACCATAGAACACTGATAGAAATACTGGGTTGACTAGTCCATAGAAATACTGTGTTGATGAGACAGTAAAAAAAAAATGATAGCAATTTTGTATAGACTATAGACTGTAAAAAATGTTGAAAACTGCTTTTACAATAATATTGTTATACAAACGTTTTATCTCTACTTGGAAACATAGTTATTATTGTCATTATTGTGAATAATTTACTATTAAACAATTGTCAACATATTCATATTATCACTACATCTGTTACCCTATACCGTACTTACTTTAATAATATTTTACAGTTGAATACCAAATCCGAAGGTGGTAGTCTAGATAAATCCAAATTGCTGATGGAAAGATTAAAGATACTGGAAGCAGAGAATTCTGGACTGGTTTTAGAAAACGAACAACAACGTCAACAATATGAGAAATGCCTGGATGAAATAGCCAATCAGGTTGTACAAGCTCTTCTTGCCCAAAAGGTAAGTTTGGACGTTTTAATAGGTTGGCATTTATTAGAGAGTTTAATACTATTTAATTTGTTTTATTTATTGATCTGTAATATATTAAATGTAAATGCGCATTAGAATATTAAGCTAGACATCCAGATTATTAGATGTGATGTACAAGAATGACATGTCTAAATATTTAACTCCAAATGTACAACAGTGATACATGATCTTTGGTTTTCAAGAGTGTGAAAAGTTCAGATTTTATAGGCTTTAGTGAGAAGTGGAATTCTCTTTAAACATAGATTAGTGAGGAGTAGAATTAATACTCTTGTAATAGACATTTCAGATTTAAACAAAAATAATGAATAGTAAGACTAACTGAAATAGGGTATTATTAGAAGGGATTGAAGGATATTGTGAGAAGTGGAAGGAACTTTCTTGTAAAAAAGAGTGTTACACAGTAAAGACGTTTCAAAATCAAAGGGATTTATTGAGGTGTGGAATCCTCTCGTAAAATTGAAAGGATTTAGTGATCAGGAGAGTAGAATACTCTTCAAAGCTTAAAGTATTAACAATGTTGAATATTTATCAAGCGGTTGTACATTTTTTCCAGTCTTTACGTGAGGAATGTACCAAACTACAAGGACGAGTTCAGGACTTAGAACTACAGAATCAACAGTTACGAACAATGTTCCAGAAGCGTATTCGCTATGCATCAGATTCTCATTTACAGGTAAATTTATATATATTCTAATTTACAGGTAAATTTATATATATTCTAATTTGATAAGAGGTTTACAGTGATAAAACTGGTCCAATATTTGCTTGTTGCAAAGTATTTTTTTATGTGCTCTTTTATAGACCATCAGGGGAGTTGGGTGACCTGTCATTGAGTCCAGTGACATACTTTCTATTCCCAGGTTGTACATCACCTGTCCAACCTCACAGGTTATCTCTGGGTGTTCTGGTTTTCTCCCACTGCTAAAGACCTCGAGCAAGCAAATTAATGAAGTAAAATTTAACCATATGTTAGTCTCGAAATGACCTAGTTTGTGTGGAGTGTCCGTTAAACTACATTTCTCTCTCTCTCTTTCATATAGCATCAAATAAAAATTAAAGAAAATTTTGCAGGGTTTCTTTTTAAAAAGCAACATGTGCCTTAACAATATTTGTAATAACAATGAAAATTTTCACCAAGAACTGCACAACAGAATGGATTATTCTGATGAAATGTTAGAGCAAAGGGTGTTGATGTATCAAGGGAGATAACTCCATTCTAAAACCCACTTTTCAGGGAGAATTCTTCACTTTGACATTAAACTTTTTCACTTGTAATAAAATTACTAGTAGCAGTAATATAACATGTCTGCTACAAATTATTGATATTTTATTGAAAGAATATAATTTTACAAACTAGTAACTGTTGTGTTGCAATCTGTATTCTAATTGGAAATATTGAGTTATTTTAATAGCATTTGAGAGCTTAAATCCACACTTTTATCGTTTATAGATATGAGTTGACAACAGGTGGCATCCAATATCATATTTTATGACCATGTTGCCATTTAATATGCATATGAAATTGAATAAATAATGAGATTATAATTCATTTCAGAAATCCTCGCCTCACAGTTCTGACTCGAGTAAACACTCCAGTATTGTTGGTAGTATGGTATGTATCTATTTCTAGAAATAAACTATTTTATGCTTTCCATGTTGAGTAGAAAAAGACTTGTTTTATTTTCTGTATGTTTAACAGCATGATTTTTACATTGTTAGAAATTACACATTTTCAACACCCTGTTACGTTGTAGTACTATTCACACTTGAATCATTAGTAGATCTTATTCTATACAAGAAGACATTAACAATCATTTTATTAATGCATAATTAGGTTAAAAACCTTTTTTTTCTTACATTAGAAAATTCCATTCCATTTTCTGATGATAATTTTAGAATAATTATACCTTTATGAGGTTTAAACCAAATATTATCAAAATAAAATTTTTTGAGAAAGATTGTGTATACATAGCACTGTCACCTTTGTTCACAGTTTATTCCCACCATTAATATTGTCGTGTTCATTATTTGAAATCTCATCTGATTGATTTATAGATCTTCTTTATAAATTCTAAAGTAGTGACGAAATTATCTTTCATTGAAAGTGAGTAGAACAGTGCTTGTAAGCCTGATCTCACTGATACATGGCCAGGGCAGTGCAGGAAATCCTTGTAGAAATCAAAATAAATATAATCCCCGAACAACAAATTGGACTTGATTGTGTTTTTAGCTAAAACCCGTCAACAAATAGTACCTTGCTTGAAATGCATCCTGTATTAAACACACAGTCTTTAGGACCGTCGCAGAATTTTAGCATTTGCATCCAAGCAATACCTCGTAGATAGATCTGCTCCGATGCAGTAACAAAATGTTGACATTTAATTTATCATTTTCTATCCGCTGTGTTGTTCAACTCACCCACCCAGAAATTTTCCCCGGACAGCAATTGAATTCCACCTGTCACAATTTGTTTTACATGGACACCAACGTGTATACATGCAGGGCTTTGGTTTTTATTCCCATCCAAACAACTAGAGGCTTTTCCTTGCCAGGCTCTCTGTCTTGCAGCACTGACTAGGAGAAACCATGCTGGAACATCCTGAGGAACTTTCTAGGCCAACACTAGAATGGAACCACATATGTCCTGGTTAGCGAGTTAGCCCTTTACTCACTAAGTCGCTGTGACTCCCTGGTACAACTACGAAATGATTTGTACTTTGGATTATGCGTTTTGAAAATTATTTTTGTAATGACAAATGTATAAGATGTTAATAATGCATAATATTAGTAATTTGCTACAGCTGGAGCTATCGTATAAACTGACGCAGAAAAATGTCTGAACACAAAATGAAGAAGATCTATAATTTAATCAGATAAATCACAAATCACTTCACATTTAATTCACTTTGTTTGTTTTTTTTTTACATTTAAATTAGATGCCACTTCATTTGTCGTCCTATTATTACCAGCCTTGTCAAATGACCCAACATCCAGGGGAGATAACTCATGAAAACTACCTGACTGGATCCTTACAAAGCATGAATAGTGATTATGTAGGCTTTATTTAATATTATTTTGCCTTAGTGTAGTATTATATTTTTATCTGTAAAGCTATGAAAGATTAATTTGGCTGAAATATTTAGATAATTGTCAGTGATTAACAGCATTAAGTATTGGAGATATCAGAGAGTCAGGCACCCCCTGTTCATCTCAAATAGTCAGGTTCCTATTTGTCAGGGGGTGACATTTGTAGGACTGAGAAGGAAAGTGTACCTAGTCTTTTAGATGAGATGATAAAATGAATTACATCGCTCGTTGAATGTAGTCCAGGGAAAATTGTATTCCTTTACAATTTGCATTAGTCACCAAAAAAAACAAACAACTTAGATTTAAGCTTAAGGCCATGTAAAAGGCCATATGAAAAGTCATTTTGTCCAGTTGTGATCTTTTGACAAAATAAAAAGACAAATATTAAAAAAAAAACCAGAATATTTCTTTTGTGTGGCCTAAACATATCTCTTAATCAGGACTGCATCTTGAGTAAGATATAAAAAAAAATGTCCTTGGTAAAAAGTGTGACTTTTTTATGATCAGATATTCTGATAAGTTGTCTTTTATTGCATCTGTATATTTAATAAGATACAAGTAGTGATAAGTGTGATAATATCACAATCTGGCAATGATCTACTATTTGTAGAAAATAAATACTAATCTTTATGTTAACTCCATATATGTGATGAATTGGTTTCAACAGGATTAACTACCGTAGTTTAAATATTTGTATTAAGTTATTAAAGTTATAGGGGAGCCACATGTGTGACTCAGTGATTAAGACAATTTGCTAACCTAGAGATCCTGTGTTCAATACAGGTGTTGAGACTGTTGGCCGGGAAAGTTCATCAGGGTTCCCCCTTGTCTGTGGTGTAGGTCGGTGAGGGCCTGACAATGAAGAATGTGTAGTTGTTCGGAAGGGACAGAAAACAGGGGTCCTGTGTATTCATTGGTATGCATGTAAAAGAACCATTGACATTTGGAATTCTAAATAACCACATTTCATTTTATTTTTTTTAAGTTGTAGAGTTAACTATGGTAGTTGACATTTTCTGATGGCTTCAATGTTAATAAATTAATAAATTGCTGTTTGAGAATTTTAAATCATTTCCGAGAAACTAATCTAGCCAAGTGTTGAACCGTAGTAAAATTTTAAAATTAACACACTTATATGGATTTACTACTTATGAATTTTATTAACATGCTACATTTAAATACACATACAGTATCGTTATCAAGCAAATTATTGATATGTGTATTGAAACGTAGCATGTTAATAAAATCCAGAAGTAGTATATCCATATAAGTGTGTTAATTTTAGTGAAATCTATTTTTATATGTCTTTTAAGGATTAAATAAAATTTTAGTCTGTCAGAATTATAAGTAAATGTGCAATTGTCAATACCATTTGTGATGGTGGTTTTCTTCTTTAGTAAAAATATTTATTGATATTTTTTCAGAGTTTTGATGAAAGTTTTGGTCAGCCTCAGATGAGTTCTCCACCTCCATGGTTACGTGATAAACTAGAAGAGAAGCTACGTGAGACTGGCTATCATCAGGATGGTGAACAATTGACAAAAATAGAGACAGAATTCCCTGCAACAAACTCTAGTCCTAAAATAAAACATATCAACGTTTTTGATCGAGGTTATGGGTCTTGGGGAAGGACGCCTCCTAAACCACAACGAAAAGGTAAAGCTGCTAATCGTAAATCACCGAGAAATTCCTTACAAAGTATGTCTCCAGGTGCTAACAGTGTCTCCACGAATCAGACATTCAATAACTCAACGGAGAACAGTACGGAATCCTCATCTTCTGGAATAACTAACAGTACTCCGCAATTGTCAAACATCAAAATGGGTTCATCTCATTTTCTGGCCTCGCGATCCAACTCTAATTCTCCCAAACCCAAACAACCCTTCCGCAGCCAGTATTTCTACGACTACAGTGATGAAGATAGCGATTGTCGACCTATGACAAAAGATGTCAGCTCTTCTTCCACGGTTTCTCTCAACGAATTATTGGACAGCAGTCTGGAGGGGGCCGATCTCCCAACAGATGAAGATTTCTATTCGGACTGGTCCCCAAGTTGTTTGTCTCCAAAGCCATTGCCAACTGACCTAAGTGCCATGAAAACTATGCAAAATTTTATGTTCCCCTCTCCGATGAAAAATGCAGGGACAACCAACTCAAGTATTAAACAAACTTCTGAGAGCAGTAGAAAAAATAGTTTGTCATCTCAAGCCACCAGTATTACCTCGATACCACAATTGACGGCTGTATCCTCTACATCCTTGACAACGTGTAGCAAAACAGCAGTGATACCAAATAAAGTAGATCTCGCGCTAAACAGTACATCATCACAAACTAGCTTGAGTGCTACACCAGTGTCTCCCTCTGTAACAACTACCTCACAATCGCATGGTAACAAACAAGTTGTCTCCATATATGGTTATACGAATGGGGCTAGTCCCAAGCCCTCTCGACCAGACAACCTCATCCTGGTACCGAGAGAAAAAACTTTCATATTAAATAGCCTGAGTAGCTCTAGTTCCGAGGAGAATAAAACTTTATCGTCATCTAGTCCACATTCAGTGTCTGACAAATCTGTGGCTTCTCAAACAGTCTCCCCAACTAGGAAAGTTTCCCCCATTGAAAAACGATTATCTCCAAAATCAAAACATTACGTTGAGATTCAAGTGAAAAAACCTTTGGATACAAAGAAAAAATCGGCCGTGGAATCCAGCAATAAAAGCAAAGTAGCGGCTATTGTGCCAACTCCTAGAAGTCCAAAAAAGTCTCCTCCCCCTGTTCCCAAAAAGCCTGCGCGAACTAACCAGAATTCAGCTAAGCCTTTAGAACCTAAAAAAATCAGTCAAAAGAACAATGTTGATAGGTCCCCTAGTAAGAAGTTACAAGGAATTGTGAACCCTATTGTGAATCCTATCGTTAATTCTGTGATTATGGACCCTACAAATAATAACTTTCCGGTTTTAGATATAGGCTTCGGTCCAAAATGGCCGGCGCCAGAGACTAATATAGATAGTGTTAGAGTTGAGAGATCAGGTAGTCGTGACGATGGCTATTCAACCATGTCTAGTGATATTCAACCAGAAGCTATGGAAAAATATAACGATGCAGCAATCAGTAAAAAAGATGGTGCCCCGAAGGGAGCTGATGTGAAGCATGACCCATTGTCTGATCCCGATTCTGCCATGGAGAACTCCTCACATAGTACGACAGAACTACAAAATTCAACTCATAGCCTCTCTTCTCAAGTCTCAACTTCTAGCGGAGAAAATCTTCTCAGTCCCGGTAATAAAGTGCGTGAAATGAGAAAAGTCTTCGAGGAAGACACACAAACTATTAAAAGTGCTAAAAAGACTGGACAACCTGTGATACAATCCCCTCTCAGTCCAAAGCTCAAGTTTTTTCAGGCGACCGAAAGTCGTAGTTTAGAAAATTTAAAAGCTGAAAAGTTAGAGGAGTCACCAGAACTGACAGCTAAAACATCTTGGAATTATCATAGTTTTGCTGAAACAAAATACACCCAGATTAACAGATACTCAGATAATCAAGTAGGTGCTTTATTTTTAGCTTAATTTTTCAACATTCATAAAGGGCTTCTCAAACTATGGCTCACCTTTGTGTTGCAAGGGCTACAACTGTGTCTTTATTTTTGTCACTTTATTTAAGTGCACATATGTCTCTCAACCATGCTCTTGTACCCTTTGCTAAATTATTCTAAATAATATATGCCATATTGTATGTAATAAACGCTCATAAGCTTAAATTCTGATTATAAACTAATGGGTGCTATGCATCAAAATCTGCCCAAACATCGGGTTAGTAGGGGTTTGAGATCCTGGGCTACTCAATACTAAAGTGTGTTATCTCATCTGATATTTATCTTCTTTCAATCATTCCATCAATATGGAAATAATATTTTTGGTCCTTTATGACTATTGTAAAGACTACAATTGGAATTCAGCTTTTTTAAGACAAATATTATATGGATCATCACCATGAGACACTTTACAGTTTTTGTCTGTTCACCTTTACCAATGTGTACACACCTTTTGCAGTAAAATTATAGAACAGAAATATTAGCTACCTACAGAATGATGCACAAGATCTTCATTTTCCCTAGAACAGCCTTGACAAACACACCCATGGCTTTTGGGGGGTTGGATGACCGAATGGGTAGCACATACGCGCGGTATCATAAAGCCTGTCATTGAGTCAACTGCCGTGGTTTCGAATCCCCTGTTGTACCTGACAAGGAATAGGGTCGCCTGTCCAACCTCGTGGGTTTTCTCCGGGTCCTCCGGTTTCGTCCCACTGCTAAAGACCCATACGCGCAAGCAAATTATTGAAATAAAATTAAACCATATGTTAGTCCCGAAATGACCTAGTTTGTGTCGAGTGGACGTTAAACCCCATTTCTCTCTCTCTCCCATGGCTTTTGTACATAAGAAGATGTATTTATAAAAATAAATTGGTTATGGGAATTTGTATAGACAATATTATCCCAACATTAATTTCTTTATTTTGTAAAAATAAATTGGTCAAGGGAATTTGTATAAATAAATATTATCCCACCATTAATTTCTTCATTTTGTGATGGTTAGAGATTAGGCCTGTCATGTCTCATCCATTTTGCCTAATATCAATATATGAATTAAATTTTTCAAATGTTTATGTAATTGCAGATTATAAGTCTACCACTTGGGGAAGATCATCTTTTAGAAGATATTCCTGAAGATCGAGAATTAGAAACGATACCTCACGTCAGTTATTCTTCTTATTCAAGACATCTGTCTTCAAGCCCTCCTCCTGTAGAAATAAAACCTAGAAACAGAAAGAGAGCAGGCAGACAGCTAAAGAGGGCTCTGTCAGAATCCAGTTTTTTCTTCATCAAACCAAAGCTACCTACTTTATATGATGATTTTTCGGATGGATCTTGGAATAGCGGACGAGTCTTTGAAAGATCGGTATCTGTATCAGAGATGGATATGATTGAATGGAATACGCGACATGAACCCGTTGTATACAAGCCACGGACATCTTCTATATTAGATATAAACGAGTCTTCAGTCAATGAACAAGTCAAAAATATTATAAAAGCATATTTGATGTCAAAGGTAAGAATTAGATGAATTGAGAATAAAAATCGATACGTAGATTTGTTGAGAGATGTTTGAGAAAATGCAGCCCCCCGCAGCCACCTCTGAGTTTCCGCAGTTAACATTCAGTTTATTTAACAGTCCCAGATATAGCTTAGTAAATAATACTGATTAATTCAAGATAGAAGACTCTTGTAGACCTTTATCAGTCTCCATATGGTGTTGGCCATAAGCCCCCAAAGTCTCCTCATGGTAATTGTCTAGATAATCATGTCTTTAGAAGATTGCCATGATTATCAAGTCAGTTGTAAAACAGTTATATATCAGTTAATTATATCTTTATGCATACTCAGTTTAAAATTAACCAGTTTGTATAAATATTGAAAAGATTGGTAATGTCTATGTATTTATCTAAATTTGATGATGAAAATATTTATATTTTGTAATGATAGATGTCAATGACAGCATCTACTACTGATAGTGAAAGTGATGGTGATCTAGAGGCTTCTTTAATGATCAACAGAGAATGGCTAAAGAAAAATGGTGGATATCATTTACCTTCGTGGCAGCCAAGAGAAATGCTGGAATCTCTCAAAAAGGTAATATATAAATGAAACTGGATTATTTAGGAGAACTGCACAACAAAACATGGAAATCAGTGAAGCCCATGATATGTAACTATAACATCAACAACAGTGTTATAGTGAAGCATGATATATAACTATTTGTTATAGTGAAGCACTATATGATTGATATGTAACTATAACATCAACAATGTAGTGCAGCCGTATATGATATGTAACTATAACATCAACAACTGTGTTATAGTGAAGCCCTATAATATATGTAACTATAACATCAACATTATAGCAAAGTCCTTGTGTGTTATATATAACTACATATAACATCAACATTATAGTGAAGTTCTATTAATACATGTATATTACTAAGTATAACTTTAACATTAGTAAAGCCCTTGTGTATAATATATAACTATCTATAACATCAACATGAACATTATAGTGCAATCCTTGTGAATTATAATTTCCCTATATAATTATAAGGTTGTGATATTTTGTTTTTGTGAAGCTTTTGTCTTATGTTTTTTTTTTCTAAATTATTGAGTGTCGATGAATTTCTAACTATATTAGCCATTATTTCTGTTTTCTTTTCAGAGTTCCACACCATCACCTGTGTCAATAAAAAGATTTGATTCATCAAATGCTGAAGACTGGTTATTAAAATTTTCGAAGGAAGAAATAGAAAGTCACCTAGCAACAGCCAACTTGAATTCCTCCTCACTGAACACAGACGAAAAACAGAACCCTTATACGGCATATTCTGATTTATCTCATTTCGCTAGTTCTTCTGACACATCAACCATTATCTGCGATTCTTCTTCTCCGGAGAAGAATGCAGATATCAGTGGTGTTAAAAATTTAGACTCTTCTCCAGCTTCTTCGTCTTTTTCAAACAGTGGTGAAGGGAACTCTTTTGTCAGTGAGGAGGGATATACTGAAGATGGCTTACAGTCACCGTCTGCAGATCAGAAAAAATTTCATAGTGAATTCTATAGTTTGTGTCTAGTGGAATCTAATCGTAGTTTAGTCTCGAGTAGTAGCCATGAAACCGATATACATAAACTGGTTGCTAAGGACTCGGTTATTGTTAAAGATATTTCTGTCTCCAGTGTCAAGGATAGGGAGTTTGATGAAATAACTCGTCAAATTCAATCCTTGTCTAAGACGGTGAATGATTTACATCATAGTTTGTCTAGTTTAAATAGTGCCGATTCAGGATCGCGCGATGACTTGATGGATAATCACTTCACATCCAAAATCGGACAATCGGCCAGTAGACATTCTATGGACGGGTATCATTGGGAAGAGGATGATTATTATTTGACCTCTTGTGGTGGAGAGGTCATTATCGGTAGTAATTCTATGTTAGATCATGAGGACGGTTCTGATTGGATAAATGAAGAAGTAGAAGCCAATCATAGTGGAGAAATTAAAGAAGAGTTTTATGAAATACAAGTCAGTGGTGAAAATTGCACTCAGATGTCTGGATATGTTTATTGTGATAACCATAATGATGACCCTGGTCTCCATGACAGTAGCTTTGATCATCAGGAGATGGAAAATCGTCACAGTCAGAGTGTAAATCATCTGGCAGATCCAGAGGTAATAACGTCCTCCTTATTTTAAAACATATTCTACTTAGGCCAAATAAATAAAAACGTGAGTTTACGGTTGCCCAACTGACCCTTTATTTTGAGTGTAACCATAAACATAGGTTATTTTTTCTTGGCCTTATTTACAAATTCTTCATAGTCTATAACAAATGGCCACCCATCAGAGAATTCAAAATATCAAATTAATTTAACGAATGCAAATTTCAATACTTTTACAGACATTATCTAGTTATTCTCAACCATCAAGTTGGCCGACGACCATGTTGCATAAACTTTTACAATGATGTTTAATTGATTTAGATCTCTAAGGAGATTATTTATTCTTAAATTACTTTCTATATTTCAGCATCGTGCAAATGTGTTGGATTCTATGTTTGCGTCTGGAGCTGAAAGTAATGATAGTTTGGCTAGTGATATTGGTCTAGATCACATGATGTGTCAACGACTTGTAGGAAAGAAAGGTAATTATATTGCAGGTATTTATTTAATGTGGGGGCTGGATGGCCGAATGGTTAGCGTGTGCACATTGTATCATAAGGTCTGTCATTGAGTCACCTAGGGTCGCCTGTCCAACCTCGTGGGTTTTCTCTGGTTTCCTCCCACTGCTAAAGACGCCTACATGCAAGTGAATTATTGAAATAAAATTGAACTATAAGTTAGCCCGAAATGTTTGTGTCGAGTGGACGTTAAACCCCATTTCTCTCTCTTTATTTAATATAGTATCATATTGAAACATCCATAGAAACATAAACTAATGTAAATCAGTACAAGTCTGCATCCTTCAAGTATTTTAGTTCATATCTAGAGGTTTTTGCCAAATCAATTTCTTGAAAATATCCAAAGGAGACATCAGTCTAAAAGCAAAACTTGCAAAGAACAGTACTAGAGTATATTTTTCAGATTAGATTGTTCTTACTACATAGCGCTCGTAAGTCTGCTACAACAGGGGATTACATGACAGGGTGCCTGGCAAGGACAGTGTCTAGTTTTCTGGATGGTCAAAAAAAAAAAGGTCCTGTGTATACGTTGACGTGCAGTAAATGTACCCTTGACAGTTGGAATAAGAGTAGGCCTTAGTGCTGGCTAAAATTTCACTCATAGCACTCAGCATGGTGTATGCTTGTTTTCATTATCCCAGACGGTGTAGACGTTGATACCCATTTCATTTCTATAACTGAAATATAATGAGTAATGTCTCTTTGATTCTATTTTTAGCACGTCATGAAGCCGTACGATGTGCTTCCATGCCACGACAGACTCTGGATTTCTCCAAATTTTTCATACGTTTCGACCAGCCAGAAAAAGAGGCTGTGGCTGCCTTTAATTTCCTGGAAGATATTTCTACCTCTACATCTGAATCAGGCTCTGAACAAAGACTCTTCAATCCCGAAGAAGATTCTAGTGCTTCTTACCAAGCTGCTGGTGTTTATATCGTAGATAATCATGTGCCTCGTTCACGAAGAGGGGACAAAATTCGTAGACGGAGAAAAATTGAACAGACCAAATTATTGAAACACAAATCAGTGCCATCAGTTTCTGATAAAACTAAACCAGGTCATAGTTCAACATCGAAAATACTCCATGACTCGTTGAACACGTCTTCCGAATCTCCTGAAATATGTGCCAGTAATTTGTCGTTGAGTGACTCTTGCTGTGAAAGCTTTTCTTCATCAGACCAGAGTATTAATGACTTAACAATGTTATAAGAGGCCTGATGCCAGGTCATCAATGTTATAAGGGGTCTGTTGCCATGTCAACCAATGATTAAGGGCTCCTGTTGCCATGACTGTAATGTCATTCATATGGGGTCTGTTGCCTTGTCAATAATGATATAAGGAGTATGTTGTCACGCGATTATTTAGAAAGAGATATGGTTGTTCATCGTTTAAATGATTTTTAATTGTATTATAAAGAAAGATAATTATTATATTGTGTTTTATTGTATCAGTTTTTTGATATATGACATTTTTTTTTATATAAATAAATAAAGAGTGCTATTTTAACAAAATTTGGGGGACATTTTAATGTAGCTGGTTTTAGCCATCGACTACTTAAAAAAATCTATGCATCAAAGCAATAGACATTCATTTTTGAACCGGGCGGGATCTTGACACATTTCAAATGTTAAATGAGATTTGTAAAAATAATTTTTTTGTACGTACTTTTGTAAAGTCAGAAATTTTGATACGTGATGTAATTCTTTTATAAATGAAAATTGAAATATTTACTTACTTGAAAAACTAAAATTCAAACTCATCTTATAATAATGAATTGTAAATTATGATTTTATTGTTCTGGCTGTATATCCCAGGATACTAGTTTAAATTTAAAATCTTAAATATTTTTAAAAAATCTAAAAAAAAAAGATGAAGGGCATATTGAAATCAGGGAAACTTCGGGTATAAATAGAACTACCATACTTATATAGAAAATTAACGTTCATTGTTGATACCTTAAACTTCAAAATTGCAAAAAAAATAATCATACTTGTAAATGCTGTAAACTTGAGCTTAATAATATATGATTTATATACAAATGAATATAAAAGTAAAAAAAAAGATTAGATGAGGCACACTCCATAAGACATTTTACCATAAATGACAATAAACTATTATGCATTTACTCTTAATTGTTTTCAGCAAAATGGATGTATTATGCAATAATGAGGATTCATTAGCAATTTTGTTTGGAATATGACATCTACAGCAGAAATTTGCGATATTGTTTATATGAAATGATCTCCATAGTTTGATGTTCTCCTTCTAATTTTTATACAGTTGAAAAATTGATTGTTTTGCATTAAAGAAAATGAAAGAATTTAATTTATAAAATTAATTTATATATTATAATTGATGAAAGAGATATGATGGATGAATTAATTAAGTTATTAATATCATTGCCTAATTTTAATTTGTAGAAAGTCTTCTATATATATTATATATATTTCTATTTTTTATTATGTTTTAAGATAATTAATTGTATGGTAAATTAATTAATTGTGTTATTTTTAATTACATGTATGTTCTTTGTAAATGTATAGCAATTGGTAACTCAAAAACAAACAAAAATAGTAATGTTTAAATTAATTATTATTAATTCAATTAAAAGCAAAGTATTTGTTGTTTTTTTAGTTACCTTAGTGATATACTCTCTGACAGCCCGTCAAAAAATGGCTACATTTTTTTATTTCTTAAAATATCCATGACAGAGGATAACATCTACAGACTTACATTTTGATGAATTGTGGTCTTTGAATTCAATTATTCTAAAAATCCGCTATTCCAGGCTCGTGAATGTGATAACTAAAATTGTTTTTAATATGATTTATTTTGTTATTATTCAGACATAGTTTGCACACAATTCAAAGATGGCATTTTTTTTTTTCAAAATGAAAAATATATCGGTTAGGTTTATGTAGTTGATCTCAGATTTATGTGGTATACAGAGCGATATGTAGATAATATTATCATATATAGGGTAGAAATTACTTATATCTATTGGTTTTTTTTTTGTGTCTGTGTTTTTGAACAGATAGCCAAGCTATCACTCATTAAAAATGGTTTTAGAACGTTACTCAATTACGCACTTAATTATTAATCTAAAAATAACCTTTTAACGTATTATAATAAATATTCGTATACACATTATATGAAATTATTTAAAACTTAATTGACCAAAGTTGGTGATAGAATTTATTGTATTATTAAGAGATAGTGCATGGTGAAAAAGATATATCCAATATACTACTAAGTAGTTCAGACGTATGATTGATAGATGTTGATAGCCAAAATATGTGTTCAGATTATTAACTCTTTTCTTGTCTTCTGTTGTATTAAATAATGGCCCTCTACTTGTATCTTTAATCTTTAAAAATTTTGTATCTTCTGTCACTCTAACTTCTCTGTTGAAATTGTCTTGCTATTTATATCTTTAATTTCTTTCTTGTCTGTAATTTTATCCTAATTTCTTGATATCTTTAATTTTCTGGCATCTTTCATTTTCTTGCTCATATCTTTAATTTTTGGCCTATATCTTTAATATCTGGTTTACATCTTTAATGTCTTGCCTAGTCCTAAATTTTCTTGTTTAGAATTTTAACTTTTTGGCAAAGTCAAAAAATTTTAATCTAAAACTGGAATAAACAAAAAATCAAGTTAATCTTTTCTGTTTTTTTTAACACCCTTAAAGATATCTTTACCATAGTCATATGTATATGTAATTTGGTAATATTTAAATGTGTCAGTGTCATGTCATATCAGATAAAGAAAGTGTCTTACTTAGTTTTTACATACATGTGTTAAGGATATCACTGGATTATATAATGTCTGTGTGATTTCTGAGGATTGGTACCAATATTTATTTCAACATTTAATAAAAAAAAACATGAATTCAGAAGCTTCTATTTTGTTTTTTTATATTTTTGTTGCTATCCTATAAGAGAGACTAAAAGACATAGTTTGTTGTTGAAATTCGGGGAGAAAAAAAAGGATATTATTGTTGACCTTGCAGCCCAATCCAAATTTTCAGTTGAAAATCTGATCCCATTTCCCGATTTGATCCTTGTAGAATATGGTGAATGATATTTTTTTTTTACTGTAAATCTCTCAGGAACTGTCAGCAAATTGCACAACTTCAAATTGAAGCCATTATCCCACACACGAAATCTAGCATAATACATCAAAAATACAGTTTAGGTCAAAATTTTCGATTTAGGGATGATCTTTTAAATTTTCGTTTTATGGGAGTGAATCTGGCATTCATTTTTCCATCAAAATACCTCTAGGATCAACGTCATCTCCCAAAAGTTAGGTTCCATGTGAGTCACAAACCTCTTCAAAACAGTGTGGGTGAACGAATCAGCTAAAGTCTCTCTCATAGATCGGTCCATTGACAAGTGGTATTATGTCTCCCTGAAAGAATATGCGTACACAAAAGTGTGTTGTTTCTAAGTTTCGTCATTGTAGCCTGTTCGCTTGTAAACGGCCATTTTCTGGTTGGGTTTGAACTCCTGGAAGATGCGGTCGATTCTTAATCGTGTGCTTCCAACAATGCGGACTATTTAAAATTTATGAAAGATATTTGACCGTGGGTGGATTTATGTTTCTACTCGTTATTACCATCGAGTTTGATAATTGTAGGAAAACGCTTAACTCATTCGAAAAGTCTTCTTCTCAAATTTAGATTTACAACCAGCCATGTCCGATAACAGACAACAGATGGATATACAGGTCACAATTCTATGGAATACAATTACTGCTTATTACTGAGCGACGTTTCGACTAGGCTTCTCTAGTATTCTGTTTTTAATCTGCACCGCGCCCATTTCCATTCATATTATGTTAATTAGTTACTTACTAACTTCAACTCCAGGATAAGGGGCCGAGCAATACCTAATATGGTGTGTGGAGAATGTACCCGGGACACGCCATTAACTTAAATTCTGTATAGCTTCAGTGGTTCCTGTTTCCGGGAGGGGATCGCGGCAATATTTGACTGCAAAGAAAGACGCACTGCATTAAATTTGCCGTGCGTTTAATTCCACCAATCTGCTATTGTTAAATTGGTTTGGGTGGACTACCATGCTCACTGAAGGTCACATTATATATCATGGACGTGGTACGAAGTACAGTTGCCTTTCTACTCTTAGCGAAGGGTGGGGAGGAGGGCGAGTAGGTGTAGTTATGTGAAGCGTCGTGGTCATGAGAGGACGAACCCTATCGATTTACAGGCTTCCACGACTTTTCGTTCCGGAGTTATCCCCCCGTTGCCGAAAACTTTGAGACAGCGATAGGGGCTATAGTTTTGGAGGGTTCTTTTCAAATTTGGTGTGAGACATTGTGGTCATGCGAGAACAAAATACTCTTGCCTCCGGTACCATGCATTCGGATAGTGGGCCATCCACAACACAACACAATATTTTTCGTCCCCCGTGAGGTGTGTCTCGTCACCAGTGAGGTGTAAACATTGCCGTGCACGTAAAAGATCCCTTGACAGTTGGATTTCGAGGTAAGATTAGGCCATAACCCCGGACCTGGTTTAAAGGGCCAATCCCGATAATATTTTTGAGAATAAAACTGGTTAATTTTGTATTAAAATCCCCTAAATTTCTCTACCTTAGGGCCGAGCAACTAACTCAATATAACTTAACCCCGCCAGTCTTAATCTGGAAGTGGGGACCGGTGCCCCAAGCTGTATTATGCGGTGTCTGGATACAACCAGACTTTTATTTTATAAAAATAAAGTGTAGGTGAAATTTACCATTCGTTATCAAGTACAGCACATGGGTCATTCACTGTATAAACCTCTAAAGGAACGGAAATCGATTATCAGGTCTCCCAACGAAAGAATTGAATCAAAATCTTAAAAGGGTTACGTGTCCGGATAAGCAGCTTTGACGTTCACGTCCAAATGACTCAATATTTTGAGCTGAAATTTTGAGACAGGGTAAATACACGATTCCTCTATATTTTGGCGCTTAAATTTCATATGTACTCGGACTTTTATTTTTGAGACTGTTCAATTCGGGATAGTCCCTTTAAACTAATTCTGCGGACCTGGGTGTAGTCCTCATAGCTCGAAATGCCCACACAACGTCGGTGTTCTTTCAACTTCATGTGCTGACAATACACTATATCCCCCCCCCCCCCACACACACACACACACACAAACACAAAAAATAGCAAACAGAAAATCCCAAACAACATTCTGTTTATTGAAATAACAATAATGGTATTTCCACATGTCTATGTAAAAAAAAATTGTAAATTTTCCAGCTTGTAGAGTTATATTTTCCGAGTTAAAAATATGTATTAGCGGCGTCAATAACAATTTCACATCCTTTTTATTTCCAATTATTGGCTGTCGGACTTTAAGTTAAGCTGAACGATAGCAACTGACGGGACAAGGGAATAAAATATATTATTATCGATTATACTTCAAATTACATTAATACGAAGTGACAAAAGAGTACATAAATTTTGTTAGATGTTAGGAGAACAGTAGCATGCAGAGGTTTGTTGTTGCCCTGGGCTAACTCCTTGATTATCTTCCTCTAAGACTCGTTTGTGTCGAGTGGACGTTACCCAGTTCTCTCTCTCTCTCTCTCTCTCTCTCTCCCTAAGACCCAAGTATAGGGCTGGCGCAGAGCGTGTGTTTTCTCTCCTAATTTCATGGAAGTAACGTCGAGAAAACTAAGGTGCGAAGTTTTGGCACACTCCACTGTAATCCTATATATATGTATGTATGTATGCACGTAAATGAGCAGAAATATTGTCTCAAAGCTTCGGTTTTATAAAATTCGCGGGTGGTTCTACCCGACCCAATGCCAAACTTGACGCTGTCTCAACCTTGGTCCCCCCGCTACTCAAATTTCTGGACACGCCACTGGTCAAAGCTGCCCATAATCATCTCCTCATGTTTGTCCATATATATATGCAGACTTAAATTATTATCTTTAATTAACATGATGTACATCTAGGTAAAATATATATAAATACTGAATGTAACACCAGATGCGATAATAAATACATCTATACATAAATCACATGATCACACCACATTAATACATATTATATATCTATCAGTACATTTAGGACTATCTATATAGTCTATATTTTCTAGAAAACATTGAGAAAACACATAACTGACAACGAATTTAAATTTTGTGTCCATTTTTTTTCCACATTTCGCAAACAATGTAATGCAGCCCATTCGTGAAGTCATATTCCAAGGGAAATTGTTGTTGTTATAAGTCTTAAAGCGAGAATTTCAAATTTTCTAAGAAAGTCAAAACATAATTATTTCTATGTCTTTTGCTCAATAGGTTATCAAATCACTATTATACGATCATGGGCATTATTTCCCACCCTTAAAAAGCTATGACACAGGAAATAACAACACAATTACCTCCCCTGTTTTGCTATTGACAACATGGGGCAGCCATTTTCCAACGTTGGAATTTGAAGTTAAAAATGATATTTTTGCCAATTTCTCAGCTGGCAATAGCGAATTATAGGATTAATAGGATTATTCTTTAACAAGGTAGGACTGTTTATGGATACCATCTATTTTAAGGCTTTATTTTAATACATTTTAAAAATACAACTTGAAAATTTGCAATTTCCGCTTTAATGTTATTAGCCCATCTTTGTGTAATTCAATAAGCACCCCCATCATTGCTGATCTCGTCCATTTTCGACTTTACAAACAAGTTCTCTCTATTTACATTCGCCATTTTCGTCACCGCAGACAGTTCCAACTCCCGGAACCTTAAATCATTCCCGATTTTACATCAAAACAGAAAAAACATTCATCATATTAAACATTTCTGGCCAAGTTCATCAACACATTTCAAACTGCTTTAGCCTAGTCAAATGCCCACTTTATGAAAAGGCGGCAAATAACATATATTCCGTTAATTGTAGATACATTTATTTCTAGCATTACTTGAGTTAGTGCCCTCTATTGTGTTTACACTTATAACAATATGCCCATATTAAATCGTAGTCCTGAGAAAGACAGAGAGATGGTTGCTTCAGAAGTGGGCCTCCTGTTCCCTGTGAATTTTCATAGTTCCACTCCAATGACTAATAGTATTATGAATCCCACCATGTAACATGTTGTTAGCTTTAGTATCATGAAGCCAACTATGAAACAAGTTGCTACCTTTAATTAAATTATTTCTAGATTTAACTCGATTGTTTCTGGCATTAACTTTTATTTCTGGCACGTTTTTGCAAAGAATAATTCAATCAACGCTAGAATTAGTTAACGTAAGCATTATTTCCTATTGACCACGCATGTTGACTATTTGAAGCTTAAAATTGTGTGCATATAGAATGGAATCATTTGTATCAAATACATGTAATCCAATTAGAGCTTGCAGTAACTCAAAGAGTTCTAGAAATAACTGAATTATGTCTAGATTTCTTTTTATTTGGGAATATATGTTATTTTGGCTTTCCATACAATCGAGTATTTACAATCTGAACATTTCATAAGACTCGAACTCACGGTCCACCATTTTCTGTAATATATGCTTTCAAAGCGTAGAGATGTATGGTAAATACAACTCCTCTTAAACAGGTGTTATTACTAACTTTGGCGCTGAGACAAAAAAAAAAACCCAAAATTCACATTTCTTCACATGACGTCCTCAACATGTTTAATACGAATTGAATATTATGTAAATCACATTATAAAACATAAAAACCATATTGGTAAGCCTTGGATAAGGTGTACAACTCTGAACAAGCGACATATTAGTCTTTGAGAGATGAAACACCTGTCCTAATGTTTTAAATTATAGAAACTGTGTGCCCTCGACCGATATTCAAGAAGTCCCTGAGTCGGGAGCTGCTAGTATATCTGATTCCGCACCTCTACCAAGGCTACTT